CTCTCTCTCTCTCTCTCTCTCTCTCTCTCTCTCTCTCTCTCTCTCTCTCTCTCTCTCTCTCTCTCTCTCTGTCTATTTGTCTCTCTTTCTCTGTGCTTCGAATTTGTTCTATATGCAAGTTTTCTACGAGGAATCGATGTTCTGTGAGATTGATAAAGTACGTGTACATATTTGGGGTAGAGAGTGGAGCAGAAAGTTGGAAATGGAGGATTGGTATTTTGGAGAATGGAAATCTGAGAGGAATGTTTTTGTAGATTATGAAAGTGGAGATATATATACGTGCTCGTTTTCTCTTTGAGACGTAATTCTGTGTAATTCTTTTGGTTGTTGGGTAATTACATAGACATGGAAGAATGAAAGAATGTTTTTCGGGTTTTCTTAAATTATGAATGAGTAGAATTTTGAATGTATCTGTTTGATCAAGATAATTTCAATATAATTCTTGTTTAATTTTTTAGATTTGGAATTTGGGAAGATTGGATTGTTTTGGATTATGGAATAGATGAAACTTTGAGGATAATAATTTTCTATAGATTGAAATATGTTTTAATAATACCATCATCTAATAAATATGTATGAAATGTAGACAGATATAGACTTTGATGATCCAAATATTTTTGTTCTTTTTCTAATGATTAATTATATATAATAATGATAATTGATGGAATGAGTTACTTTTATAATTAATTATTGTGAAAAATGTAAAAGAACATAGAAAGGATGAAATATTTATACAATACATTCACAGAATTGAATCACTATATCAAAATTATAAAGATAAATACATTAAATATGACTGTTATCTCAAATTATTAATATTGCATATAAATATCGAATATTCTCCAAATGTCGAACTTATATTTTTAGAAACTTGTTTCCATTTGAAATTCATAAATTTAATAAACACGAATGATAAAGATCATAAACTTTTATTCAAGAAATTATAAAAATTTTATATGAATATTGTATTCGTGACAACTGATGTAACAAGATTTCGATACTTTCATATAATAAATCTTATCATAATAAATTTTTTTCGTTATGCGATCAGAATTGATTAGAATTGACAATAAGAGAAGATTTAATAAAATTGTATCAAATTATTTGGGATCAGAATCTTGAAATGTTTAAAAAAATTCGATAGATTTCATACTTGATCATTCTGTTTAAATTTTTTAAATATTTTCAATTCGATTTTGCCAAAAAAATCCTTCGATCATTTGGAATAAAACAAATTAAAAAAAAATATTCAAAATTCTTCGCACGATAGGATTTCGAGTATATAATATTTATGTTCAATTGAACTATCTATCTATTACCAATGATTAAAAGGTTTCTTCATGCTTCTCGTCAACGACTAATCGCATTATA